GATAATACTGCCATATAAACCTATTGAGTAAGAAGCTTTCAGACTCTGCTAAAATCTAATTAATTCCACAAGGCTCAAGGTGCAGGGTGAGTTTTGGATCACCAGCTTCCAACATTTTCCTTTATGTAGATCATAATATCTTAATCAAACACTTGGTGGACCACCAAAAAGAAAGCCATTTTAAAGACTGTCAAAATAAATCTGATGTATATATATTTGCAACAAAACAAGAATTCCATCATTTTGTTCTTCTTACAATGATCTTGTAGGAAAAAAAGAAGACAAGTTGAGCTGGGACCTTTAAAAAAAAAGGTTCATAGAAGCTTCCCTCTATTGCATTATTTTTGGGGATGATTTTTCCTTAAAAAGTCTGTGTGAGAGAGAGAATATATTTGTGGTGCTAGTGAGTACACACTGGGTCTGTCTTCATTTATTTTTTTAAGAAAAAATGCCCAACCACATCAGCTGATTTCTGTTCAGATAACAGACCAACATTGCCACTGAGAAAGAATGCATGCATGTTCTCTTGTCCTGTTTTCACTGTTTCTTAAAAGAAATCACACAACATAGTCAAGTGGTTTGCTTAAAAAAAACAAAGGGAAATAAAAGAGTCTACAGATAGTCCTTCACTTACAACCATTTGTTTAACAATCGAAGTTACAACGGCGCTGAAAAGTGATGACTGGTCCTCACACTTAGAACTGTCGCAGCATCCCCACGGTCACATGATCAAAATTCGGATGCTTGGTAACTGACATATTTTTACATTTGCAGTGTCCCGGGTCATGTGATTGCCACTTGCGACCTTCCCAGGAGGCTTCCAACAAGCAAATGTGGGAAGCCAGATTCGCTTAATGATCATGGCAAAAAAGGTAAAATCAGGTGCAACTCACTCAATGACTGCATTGCTTAGTAACAGGAGTTCCGGTCCCAATTATGAAGTCAAGGACTGCCTGTATTATTACTGCTAGTGAGAGAGTGTACACCAGGCCTATCTCTTTAAAAATAAATAAGAGAAATAACAATATTGGCTGATTCATTCTTTAAAAAGCCAGAATACATCCCATTGGCTTGGGAACCACCTGCAGCAGATTACTGTTTTATGCTGTTGTCATAAATGTTTTATGAAAACAGCTAATAAGAAAGCAAACAAAAAACTGTCACCATCAGTTGTACATCTGTTGGATTTTTATTTATGAAAGGCTTCAACAATATTATGTATTAAGAACTGTGTGTGATTGAATCTCCTCCAAGGATGGAACTGCAGGCTTCTGAGGCTGTACTTTCGTGGGCAGCTTCTTATTACCGTATTTATTATAAATTCTTTCAAGTTCTTTCAGTTCAATACCACCTTCAGTCATAGCCTTTTTGAAACGTTTCAGCTGTTTTCATTTAAAAAGAAAGACAAAACTGTTAATTTTTTCACTTCTATTAGTACTGTCAGCATACACAGCAAATTAATTCTCCTAATTCTCTTTGCCTCCCAAATAATGCAATTCTCATGTTAAGAGTATATGCCAACTCTGACATTTAGCATTTTTAGATATGCATGTGCTATAAGTAAGCTGTACAATATTGTGCTCAAGAACGAGAAACACGGGACAAGTAGCAACTAAAGTAAGAAAAAAAAAATCAACTTGCCCCTTCGCCATGTTTTTCCCATGGAATTGTAGCCCTGTCATCCACAAAGTTGATTCCCGCTTCAAGGCAACGTTGTGCTAACACACGGCCCACATTCTCACATGCTGCCACACCGGTTGTTTTATAAAGATGCTTCTTAATAGCCCACTCTCGAGTGGAAGCAGAGACTACAATATGACCGCTGCAATGTTCAATGTAACCTTCCACGTGTTTTTGGGTTTTTTCAAATCGCAACCTGAATTGTTAGATATGAAAAATAAAATGTTATTGTTTTCTTTCACTATCAGAGAAATTCACTCACAATAACAGAAAAATATTCCTATAGTTCTATATTTGTAAATCTTTTCTTATGTCTCATACTTGGAATTCTATCTCAGACTATATAACTCCTTTTTCACTTTTCAAATATTAATCTTAGTAATTTAGTATTATAATTAGTAAATACTAAATATAAACTGAAAAAAGTCTGTATTAGGATATGAACCATATGTTACTTTGAGTGAAAGGTTCCTTGTCTCTGAAAAATTGCAATCTGCACAGTCCCCATTGTTGAGCTTTCTCAGGATGGCTCCCTTTATGTGGAACAGCTTGTCTCTGGATATCTGGACCACAACACCCTTGTTGGGCTTTTATAGGATCATAAATATATGGCTCTTTGACAGAATATTTGAGGGATGTTGAAGACTAATCTATTCCTTGCTGATGACACATCAAATGTTAAATTCTATAACACTGGGTGATTTTGTTTCACTGATTTTAATTCCATGTGTTGGTGGATGCTTAGAGCCTTTGGTAATTGAGTGGCATAGAAGCCATTACAAATGAATAAACACACATACATACTTCACTGATGGAAGCAGAGTTATTCCTCTGAAACAAATGGGAACTGGCATTAAGTACAGGATTCCCTGTGGAAACATCTGTGCTGGTAGGTACTCAAGTGAGCTTCAAGTCTCTTTCCTCTTGCAGATCCCCAAAAACAACAAACCTTTGTTTTATTTTTAAAATGTATTTTTGGTGCAATAATCTTTTCCCTAAACTATATTTCCCAACCCTAGATATCCCATTAGTGAATATATGAGTAAGGAGGGTATAATCAGAAACAGAACTTAAAAGATTCAAGAAAATAAATTTAGCTATAACTTCAAAACATTATGGCTGAAATAACAACTGGACTATTACAGGCTGTATGATCTGCCCCAGGAAGAGAGCTAAGCAAAAGAAAATCTACAACTACCAAAGAGTATTTGCAACAAATTTACTTTAAACAAACTAAGAATAGTCTTGAAGTATAATCTCTACAAATGTATAGTAAAACAGGAATGCTACACCAGACTCCATGCTAGGGCAGGTGTCACAGGTTGAGGCTGGCAGGAATAGAAAGTGACAAAAATACCTCATGTCCCCAACCTCTTCTGGAGTAAATCTATTATGAGTCACAGCAGATTCAACATAACTAAAACATACAGGCTGTGGAAACAATACATTGTAAGAGATGAAAGCTTCCTCCAGTTAGATGGACGTGCCTATCAAAATATAGTATGTTTTGCACTATAACAAAACAAATGCAGAAGTGCCCAGTGAGTGAAAAATATATTGGCTTCTTATGTGAGCTGCTCTGTACCTTGCTATATTCACACAAGGGATTGCTGTCAATAGGCAGATAAGAGTAGGGAACTATATAATGTGAACTGATAGTGAAATAGCACACAGTAGCTCTTCGGACACTCATGCCATGGTCACCTCACGGCTTGACTACTGCAATGCACTCTACATGGGGGTGCCCTCAAAGACTAGTCTAGAATGCAGTGGCTCAAGCAATGATGTAACACCTCTGCTTTGCAAGCTGCACTGGTGGCCAGTTTGCTTCCAGGTGTGATTCAAGGTGCTGGTCGCTACCTATAAAGCCCTATATGGCATAGGGCCTGGTTACTTGAGGGATCATCTGTCTCCCACAGTATCTGCCCAGCCAATTTGATTTGGCAGGGTTGGCATGTTCCACGTTCCTTCAATTAAACAATGCCATCCAATGGTACCCAGAAGTGCACCTTCTCTGTCGCTGCACCTGTCCTCTAGAATGAGATTCCCCCTGAGATTCAAACGGCCTCCACCCTGCTGGTGTTTTGAAGGGACCTGAAAATCTGGCTCTTTACTCAGGCTTTTGGTGAGGATGACTGACGCCTCCTTTTAACGTGGGTTTTCTTTTGTTTCCAGTCAGTTTGTTACTCTGCCATCTCTATCCCTTTTTGTTTCTTGTTGTTTTTATTGTCTTGCTCTTCATGTTTTAAATCATTTGTAAACTGTCCAGAATCATTGGGAGTTGGGCAGCATATAAATTTAAATAACAATAATAATATGAAAAAGGGTCTATAACTAGGAGTCAAGAATCCCAAATATAAGTATTGGGAATTTGGAATCAGTGGAAAAAGGAAAAAGCACAGATTCACATGGACACAAATATAGGAAAGACCATGGAGCAGACAACGTTATCAGTATCATTGACAACATGATTGCCCTCTTCAGATTAGAAAAAAAGTTTGATAAAAATAACTGCTTCTTCACAAATAATAATTTCACAGGTGTTTTCTATATTACTGAACTTTGGTTACTTTGCATTTTTCTAATTTACCTGTACCAATAATCCCGTTTTGGCCATGAGGTTCTCCAGCCAAAATCCTTTCTTGCAATAGCCAATCTTTCCAAGTTACGTGGATTCCTATTTGTGAAGTCAGGAGCCACAGTTTCATTTTCTCTTGTGTCCACTTCATCCGTAAGAGGTATAGAATTGGGAACAGAAGAATTAAATTTAACTCCTGCAAGAAAATAAAAACCACTTAAATGTATACTTAAAGGACTTTGAAAATAACCAAGAGCACAGAAAGATTTTAGTATAACATATAAATGAAAATGTACTAGAATCATAGACTGGTGGTGAAATGGGAATAAGGAACAAACACAGATAAAAATGTTTAATATTACATTGTTAATCTTAAGGAAGCTCAACCTTATTTAATACACTTTGTATCCCCATGTATTAAAGAACACCTGACACATCGTTGTCCCTAATTTGTGGGTTAGAGACTGTGGACATGCCACTTAAATGTTTAATCAGCAGTATGAAGGTTGAAGCCAGCAAGATGAGAAGCAAAGAGCCTTTGACTAGACAGACCATAATGTACACTCTGGGCAGGTGCTCTAAACATCCAAGATTGAGGACATGGCAGCAAAAAGTCTATTATGATGTAAGGATACAGGATTTAAACCCTGGAATTGGCATAGAAATATAACTAGGTGCAATAATTGATCTTTGTTGTTATAAGAACTTCTTTCACAATGACAACAATTTATTTTTCTGAATCTCATTCCTGAATCTTCCTCTAAGTAAATGCACGTTTACATTCCTAAAAGAGAGACTGTCATGCCCATGGTGAAGCTGATATGTATATAATTACATTTTAACAAGAAGTAAATAGTACTCTGTTTAATGAAACGTATTTCAAGAGCAACGAGATTTGCACATTTTTAATGCATTGTTCAGGTTTTATCTCTCTTCTTTGTATATCTAAAAATGAAAACAAAGCATTGCTAAACCGAGGCCAAAACAAATGTTTAAATTAAATGTAAATTAATAACTTTAAGTTAAAATAACTACATCACATTAAATGGGGTGGAATTTAATTCTGAGTAAGCATGCATGGGATTGTAACATGTTTGTACGAGATGTATCTCTAATTCATATCACATTGATAAATGTGCATACAATGGATACACAAGACTACCATAAATTTCTATCTACTCATAATTGGATTATGGGAATTATAAAGTTGATCAATGTACTTTAATTATTCAATTAATTCATTGTGGGATTAATTATTCTAAACATTACAAGTTACAAAATAAATAAAGGAAATAATTATTACAGACAGTTTACTTTTGCACTGTTTTATATCTAAGGGTCAGTTTTGTGAAGTGGTTAAGGCATCAGGCTAGAAAGTGAATTCTAGTCCCACCTTAGGCACAAAGCCAGCGAGGTGACCTTGGGCCAGTTACTCTCTCTCAGCTCTAGGAAGGAGGCAAGAGCAAACCACTTCTGAAAATCTTGCCAAGAAAACTGCAGGGACTTGTCCAGACAGTCATCAGGAGTCAGCACTGACTTAAGCACACAAATGTATCCAAGCCTACTGAAAACTGTGTTAATAATGAGAAATAAATTTCTTTGATGAAGTTTGAGAATTCTTCTAAGTTACAAAATAGCATAAGCTTCTCTATGGAACAAGTGATCTACAAGGAGATGGCTAAATTATTCCACTTCACATGCAACTTTTTTAAAGAGAAAAATGAAATAATGATGAAATACAACAAAAGAACCACAAAGAAAAGACAAAATTATGTGAATGAGGCATGAAGACTGTTTTGTAAAGTCATATGGTATACCTATGTTTATTTCTGAAGCAGGATACCTTATTGCCTCATGAGCATGGTGCTGCCATCAGATTCACAAACTTTCATTAAAGGTATTATGCATATAGATTTACCTCTTTGTATTTACAAAGCCTAGCAACAGAGCCTTGTCCCTTCTTCTCTTATCAAATAATAATACTAATGATGATGTTGGATGAACAAGATAATACAACAAACTGCAAAGTGTTTATTTCTAGATTGGATATACGGTATAATCCCCACCACTCCTTCACCACCTACAGCAAAGTAAATCCTCTCCCTTAGTATATTGCTCCCCAAACTACCACTCCCAACATCTTTATTCAGCATTTTGCCTGTAATTCAAGTTCAAATCATCTGGAGAGCCAAAGGCTGAGGATGGCCGCTTGTCCTTCAAAATATTTTGGTAACAGCGAATGCATTCTTGCGCAGACTTTGAAAGGAGCGGGCTTCCAAGAGCGCAGGCTTAGAATCCACCTCAACAAATGACATTATCGAAGAGACCCACGCAGAAAGAATTAGAAAGGGCAAAACCTCTCGCTGACTTAACCGTTGAGTCTCCTTCCCTGTCTTTCTGAATGTCATATTAACGTCCCCTGCTTCTCCACGCAAAATCTAAAGCTCGAAGACTCTACCGTGCCGGGGTTCCCGGAACGTCCTGGCCGCGCTGCTCAGCGGCAGAGTCCACCTCCCGAACGCCATCACGCCTGGAGAGCCCCAGGAAGGGACCTGGCCGGACCTACAAGACGCTGGGGGGCGCCACTTTTTCCTCTGCTGAACGAACCGATACGGTTTTCCCCACGATCTCTTTCCGTCCTCCAAAAAAAAAAAAAAAAAGTTGAAATCCTGATTGGCCAACCTCATATTAACCCGCTTCATTTCCGCTAGAACGGCCTATAAGCCAATAACAATTCGGATGAATACGGCTATAGACTTGTAACTGTAGAGCAGTGTTTTTCAAACTTGGCAACTTTATTGTGTGGACTTCAACTTTCAGAATTCCCCAGCCAGCATGCAGTCCACATATCTGAAAGTTGCCAAGTTTGAAAAACACAGCTATAGAGGAATGGAAACGTTTCTGATTTAAATACAGTCCTCTTTCCACTCCCGGCGAAACAGACGCCTCGTCTTAGGGAATCCATGGCGAAATCTTTAAAAAGCTCTTTTCTAATTAGTGTTTTGTTTTATGCCAATGGCACGTTTTAGAAATGAAAAACTCTACGTGTCTTCACGTGCATCACTGGACTTAAGCATATGCTGCTCAACAGCAAATTTTAGAGGTACAGAGAGGCTTCTAAAAGAAGTAAAATGAAGTAAACTGCAATTGGAGGCGATGTTAGCATCAAAACGTGGATGAATTTGTTAGACATTCAAACCAGTTTCAGTCCAATCGCTAACCTTCTAGAGATTGTGAATGCTGCGTGTGTATAGGTGGGATAAAAATCTAATAATAATGAAGTTGAAAATTCATAATTTATAAAAGGTTTGAACTATGGTATTGAAACCTTATGAAAAAGGGCTCTTAGTTTCCATCATATTTACTTCTTTACATTTGAAAAC